ATAGCAGCCCAAAACATGACTCCACCCCCACCTTGTTGTCGACGTAGTTGCACTGGTGCAGACTGCCCCTGAGTTATCCATCCTCTGGCTCATCCATCCGGTCCATCCAGTGCTGCTATGCACTCGTCCGTGAAAATAACGCGTGAAAAGTCAATTTTCATATATTTTTCAGCCCAGGAAATGCATTTGGCTTTGTGGTTTTTGTTGAGAGGTGGTTGTCTTTGAGCCTTTTGAACCTTGGCCTTACAGCTTGTGGTTCTGGATACTTTGGGCAGTTCGCATGCTTTGAATACCTCTCTGCTGGTTGCTTGAGGATTTCTGGTAACATGATGGCAAATCTGTCGAACATGCCAGGCATTAATTTTTTGATATTTTGATTGAACTTGCTTTTTTCGACCACTTTCGCTGTTTGCCACAAATTTTTTCACAGTACGGTGATCTCTGGAAAGGCACTTGGCAATATACAATGTAGATTGGCCTGTGAAAGCAACTGCACAATTTCTTGTTTTTCAGCAGGCTAGAGATCACCTTTTTTACCTTTTTATCTTTATTGTACAGTGGACTGTTGCATAATAACTCTGGACAGTGTTTTCTGAAAATAACTCACATTTGGACTTGTATCTCATGAGTTACAGACAATGCTTCTCCTATTGCATTTCTCACATGTCCACTGAGGCATGCAGAGCATTATGGAACACGTTGTGTTACTTCAACAAAAACACATACTTGCATAATAAGCTTGGACACATACTTGCATAATAAGTTTGGACACAGTGTATACTTTAGGAGATATAGGACCTTAAAGGTTGCACCTTTAATGTCACGTGACTTGTCTCCTGATGACATCATCATCACATGAGGTTAATATTTCTATATTTCCTTTTTCAAGTTATCTGCAAGATTTGAACCTGATGGAACATCTAGTTCAGGAGGTATAGGGCCGTAAAGAGAGCACATTTAACGTCACGTGACTAATTCCCAGATGGCGTCATCAGCACAGGATGTTTACATTCGTCTGTAACACTTTCTTTTCTAGTTATCTGCAAAAATTCAACCAGATAGGACATGTCCTAAAAGGCTCTGAAGTTTACAAATTTCATGCCAAGTAAAAAAACATGTACAAACTTACAGGGAAAAATGAAATATTAAAAAATCAATACAAAATGATGACGTCATCATGACGTCATTCATTTTCAATAAATCTTGATTCAGGGTCTTTGTTGACCATAACTTTGTCAACAATCAGGCATCGCAAAGTTACCAAAATTGCGGCTCGATATCGTGTACAAAATCTATGGGCTATTAACTCGTTTGCAGAAACACTGCTCCTTTAACTTCGTGTCACATGATTTGCACTTAAAATGAACAATATTTACGAAATATTACTTCACATTCGGACTCTTAGGCATATTTCAAATCAAATAACAGACTGGAAAGTACCCGATTTCTCTTTCGTTCTTGTAGTAATCTTGAGCCGAAGTAAAGGACTACTTGTTCGCTAGTGCTAATTAGAAACACGTGTTCAAAACCTGAAGGGAAAAATAAAATATTCAAAAATCAATATAAAATAAGGTGATGACGCCATCATGACTCATTCATTTCCAATAAATCTTGCATCAGGGTCTTTCTTGACTATCACTTTGTCAATGATCAAACATCGCAAAGTTACCAAAATTGGGGCTGGAAAAACTTGTACAAAGTCAATGGGCCATAAACTTGTTTGCAGAAACACTGCTCCTTTAACTTCATGTCCCGTGATTTGCACTTAAACTGAATTTTTATGAAATATTACTTCATATTTGGACTCTTAAGCATATTTCAAAGCAAATAACAGACTGAAAAATACCCGATTTCTCTTTCGTTCTTAAACAGTCAAACCTGTCCATAAAGACAACTCAAGGGAAACGGAAAAAGTAGTCTTTATAGACAGGTTGTCTCTCTATACAGGTTGGCAATATTTGCGACCATTATGTGGAAAGTAATGTCAAACCTGCCTTATATAGCGACCATTGCGTCCAGTCTATAATGACCTTAATTTGCTTTAAACGGAAAGTCTTTGAATTTATTTAATTTTACTCTAAATATTTGTACATGTATATTTAGTGTGTTGTTGAGTCTAAGACTTTACTAATGTGACAAACGATGATATGAAAAACAGACACTGGGTCACCTTATTTTATGTTTAATAAGAGAATCTTAGTTTGGGAATTGTTTTGTGAGAATTAGCTACGCTGCAGCAGTGCATTACCTGCACAATGACGGGGACGTTTCTCACACAGTGCCATAATGTTGGCTCTGAAAAGAGCCGTTTGGTTTGGTGTGGCCTCCTTGTGGGCCAGTTGGAGTCAGTTTTCAAACTGTTTTGAAGAAATTCAGTAGTGATAATTGGCTAGCAGCCTGGTGTTGTCAAAGGCTTTCTGCTTCAACCTTCCCTCCCATGTTTATGCAGGCATCAACTAGATTTCCACAGCCCTTCATGACAGTGAACTTTCTCAGTTCTGTCAACATGGCCGCGAACTGCTCAAAATTGTTGACAGTGTTGGAACAAGGTTCTTCATCGTTGTCATTTTCCTCCTTTCCATCACTCTCAAGGTCTTCATTGTCATGGAGGCGTCACTGGAGATCAGCCATGGACAAGACTGGATTGTTGTCAGTAGTTGCCAGTCTGCCATCAGTCAGACTGAGTTCTTGTAGGGAAATGTTCAGTGCCTTGCAACAAGCAGACTCAAGAGCCTCATCTTCTGCTGCCGTGTGTTCTTCTTCCTCTTCAGCAGCCACATCTGCCCCAACACCACATTTCTTGAAGCATTTCTGGATGGTAGTGCTGTCTACCTCTCTCCATGACTGCTCAACCCAGTAGATGGTCTGTAAGACATTGGTTGTCTTAAGCAAGCCAGGGCCAGTCATTTCCTTGTTGCTCTCCAGCTTCTGCAAAATACTGCTCAGCTGTTTCTTTCTGAACTTGAGTTTCAGTGCCTGGATGATGCCTTGGTCCATGGGCTGTGTCATTGATGTTGTGTTGGGGGAGGAAAACCAGCTTGATGTGCTTTAGTGGTAGTCAACGAGAAGATCGTCTCGCTGTAGTCGACCAGAGCAACGAGGCTTGATCAACTTGCCAATGATAAGGGGCTTTTCCTTTTCCCCGAGGGCACCGGCACACAGCATCACTGTTAGCCGTTCCTTGGAGCGCTTGCCACCTGAGCAATCCTCTCCCTTCACGTGAAGAGTGGAAGCAAAGGAGGCTTTGAAGAACAGCCCAGTTTCGTTCTGGTTAAAGATGTCCTTGGGGTCATAGCTGCTGCACAGTTCAGGGACTTTTTTCAGCCATTCATCAACAGTGTTGCCGTCTGCACCTCCACTCTAACCACTCATCTTGCCGTACACGATGCTGTGTTGCTTCTTAAATGACCCAAGCCAGCCATTTGATGCCTTAAAGTCCGAAATTCCAAGCTCTTTGGGGAACTCCAGGGCCTTTTCTTGAAGGAGTGGCCCAGAAACCAGAAACATCTGTGCTGTAGCATCCTTGAACCATTCATTCAGAAGGGCATTGATCTCTTCATTTCCCGTCTTGCAAATTTTTCTCTTGCAATCTAGGGGAGCATTCCCCTCGAACTCCTCGATCCACTCACTCTTTCTCTTCACGATGTTTTGGATCTGTGTCTTCCCACAGTGGTGACCTCGCCATCCCAGGTTCTCGACAATCGCACGACAGCTCATCTTTTTGTGGTCGTGCATCTTTATTGCCTCCATTTTCATTTGCAACGACAGTTGATTTTGTGAACTCTTCCCGGGATTCGTTGCCATATTCTCTCTTTTTTTGTCAACGACAGCAAAGGGCCTAAATTAAATTGCTCAAACGGTACAGCAGAACAATATAAGAAGACTCTGACAAGTTTGCAACGCTGTGAACATGCGAACACGATGTGCGCTGAGACCCAAATGTAGCATGCGCAGGGCAAGCTTGTGCACTCATGCCTCAGAGGTCAATCCAGAGTTCAAAACTTTCGGACTTTTTTACAAGTTCAAAATAAAACTAAAGAGCAGAAAAAAACACTAAAAAAAATATGAAGTTATCCTATTTTTTTTAAATCAACTGTTTTGTGTCCATAACTTTAAATTGAATTTAATTTTTTAATCGAAGATTTTAACTATGCTCGAACAATACTGTGGAAGGTCAAAGTTCATGCATAATGCATGTACTCAAGTGTAGCGCTGGTGCCTGCATTGCATGTGCGTGACGTCGAAGCATCCGCTGCTACACATGCCAAGCCGGCCCGATGTTTGGGAAAACAAACAATAGTGTTTTTGTTAACACAACCACAGATATCCTGCAAGCGTAGAGCTAATACCCGGGTGTTGCTTGACTAATCCATTTAAATGGTTTATTGGGCTTTTTTAACACATTTGAAACAGAACACAAGCAGTGTAACAGAGGCAAGTTGTTTTAGATGGTTGCTTTATTTTTGTATGACTCACAAGTTGCGGTTGTTCTGTACAGACTTAGTGCCTGCACGGGTGCAATAATGGGTCGTCGCTGTGGAATTGTCACGCGCGCCATTAATCATAATTGTTCATGGGGGCAGGTGGAATGAGTGGGCAGAGATCTGGAGTAAGCCCGTAGGCGAGCGGTACAGTGGCAGGGACAACCAACCAACGCCACGACCGCTCGTGAAACCGTGCAGTATGGCATTGCCGGACCAGCCGGCAAGCCAAAGTAAGTCACCTGTACCACCTGTTTGGCAGACTTGTTTACGCCCCAGACAGCCAGTAGAGGGGCGTAGATGGACCGGAGGTTGCTGGGTGCTAGAAGATGGTCGGCGGGGAGCATCTAAGATGCTAAGATTGCCCAAGTGGCATTACTGGTCCTGGATGGTAAGCCGAGCTACAGCAGCTCAAAAGCTGTTACGACCATGAGTCACCCAGTTGCGCTCCCGTGAGCAGACTCCACCGCACCGCAGAAGGCCTGTAGGGGGTGCGTGGACGGGCCTAAGATGCCTAAAGAGGGCCCGTGGGTGTGCAGTTGATCGACAGGATGTATCACCCCATACCAGGGGACTGGCGTCAGACTGCTACAAGTCGTGAAGAACTCGAAGAGCGAACTTGCATGGTCGTACCAGGAACCGACCGAAAGGAAGAAAATAGTAAATTTATGCACTGTCCTATTTCATAGGTTAGCAAGGACTGAAACCACCGCATCACTGTCCTTACTAACCAAGCTATCCCAAGCCCGCGAACGGGCAAAATTACTATACTTGGAGCGGGGAGAAGAATAAACTCTCAAAATTTGCATCAAAAGAGAGAAGCAAACCAAAGAAATATGCCGAAATATCAGGGGAAATACAAGTAGAAAATGAGAAGCAAAACAAAACCCAGAATAACGAGACAACTGCTCTCAAGATAAGAGATTGACAATATGTACAAATTGCCACAACTGGGGCGAAGATAATTAAGGTATATACAGACAAAAAATATAACAAGCAGAATAAATTAGACAAGCAAACTCAATTTTATTCTGAAATCAAGAAATATATGCAAGAAATAAACAGCGCCACCTTACGCGAAGTCTGGAAGGGAGATACGAAAACTAGGTCGAAACAAAAATCAGTCTGCCACCCTGTGCAAGACTGAAAGGCAACGGCAAAAATATGTATATAGGGAAAAAGGAACCATCTTACCATTCGTAAGAACAGGAATGAATGAACAAACAAGGTGATCGAGAAATAACATCCAAAACACAAGATGCGAGGGAAAAACTCTCAAAAATTTCGGATCCAGACTTAAACACCTCCAATAGTAACTGCGCTAATAAAGAAAAAAAGGAACAACATATATGGTGGCCGCCTTCACGGAAGTCGAGTGAGTAAGGGCATGCTGCTGGTGATCAAGAATTTAGCGAATGGAAGTAATGGACTAGGAAATAATGCATGACTGTAGCTTTTGATGAAGAGAATGCAGCTGTATCAAAAACTCATAACCTGAATCTGGGGACTTAGTACCCATTTCTCTAGAGCGGGTCACATTTACATACAATTTACATTTGCATTTTAGCTTAGAAGTATAAAAAGGGGCTAAAATGCCCTTAAAATGGCCCAACAAACATTGGAAATTAATTCCTTTTGCATTGGCCCTTTAAATGTGAGCATGCATCTTCATGTTGTGACAGCTAACCGAACAGAAGAATGTGTCAAATTCCAGCTAGGCGTGAGCACCGCATGCAAATATTAATGGTAGGTTACATTACTGGTACAATCACAAAAAACAGAACTGTTGAATAATCCTTGAACTAAACATCTTACTTGAAAGTAAATAACAACCTTTATCAAGCTGTAAACTATCTCCCTCCGGAATGCTGCTGTTTCAAGAAAATGGAACTTTTGTTCTCCTTTTTTAATGACAGTCAGTTGACCATTGTTTTAAAGTATGTTTCATTTTACACATAACAGTACCACATCCATTAACAAATTTTGTGTGGTGTGAGTAGGTGTTCTAGTATTCTGAATAAACAGGTAATACTAAATACAAATAAAAACACATCTGCAAAATTTGCCATTTTATTTACTAAAAGAAGAGAACAAATGAACAAAGAGAACATGGATTGGTTCGAACTGAAATTTAGTTTATGAGAAGGGATTATTTTAACACGAAAAATGTTGCCATCTCACTATCACCCCTTAAATGTAATTTTATCATGTACCCAAACTGTACATGATTGGCCCACACAGCTGCCCTTTTTAAGCTGTACAGCCAGGCCTATTTTTTTTCAAAAAATCTACCATTTCCATGTGTTAACCTCCTGTGTTTCCATGTATAATTTCGTCTGCGCCCATAATTATCAGTTAGTCAACTTAGAATGAGTTTTAGATTTGCAATGATGTGCAAACTGATGTGAAAGAGTTGTCGTGATGCATGATCATGCATGCACATCGTGGATAATGTCAAACCATTTAAAAATTTTTCCCTACCTCTTTTTGTTATTTGTTGCTGGATACCATTTTCCTCTGTTCGGTATCAAAGTGATCACTTTTTACAACCACACATGCACTGTTCAGCCTGAAAGGTCACCTGTACTTTGGGGTTGAGGCGGAGGGGTGCATGGCAACCAGAAATTCATACTTAAGGTAACAAAATATGTGCCCTTGGTTGGATCTCCTTTTGAAAAATCCTGGATCCACCCCTGAAATGCCTCTATTCGTACACTCATATTCCAACAGGAGTACGAGCAGCAGATTTTAAGTGCAGAGTCGCCTAACTTCGTCTTTCTCAGTGTTTGTGTATGTGGTACACAATTCACATTGATTCACATTAAGGTCCGTATACAAGGCCTACGTGCGCACTTGTGGTGTATGTTCTGATTGTCAATTGTTTGTGAATTAACTCGCGCTTTTGGCTGAAAGAAACAATGAAAATTTCGAAAAATAGGATGATGCAGCGTCTGACGAATCCATTTCATAAAATGCAAGTGCTTTGCAGGACACAAGATATCTATTTTACTAGGCCTATTAACCCCAACACTTGAGCACCAATTTGATTTTATTTGTTCAAATAAATATGGAAGCATCCAAATTGAATGCAGTGTCATTTGTCTTCAGAGCTCAACTTTAACAAGTTTAAAAGGATTTTTTTTCTGTTCATGCCAAAATGCGAATTCTAAATGTAGGTTGCATCGAGGAGAAAACAGAGAAAATGAGGGGAATCCTTGCCCTGTGCTTGTCATGGATAAACCCTTGAGCGTGACATGAACATCTTTCACCAGTCGGATAATAGAGGACTGCTAGGGTTAATATTTTCATGTAGCCTCCATGCCTCTTTTACTGATTTTATCTCGCCTTGGTGCCATCCCAACTGGCCTTGATGCCCTGTATAATGTTAATTTAAGGCCTCAGTGGCATTGCCCTAAATAATACAAAATTCAAGGCCTGCAATATGTACATCTTGATGAATCCACTGGATTCAAGAAAAAAAATCACTGCTCAATGAAGTTTTTCTTGAATCCACTGTTTATTTA